CCTCGCGTGGGTCCCCGGGGATGGTGGGATGTACCCAGGGCTGTGCGGTGCTGGGTGGGGGGGGGCTGCGGTGATGCCCCCACCCCGGTGCATCCCTGTGCCGTCGGGATGCTTCTGGGGGCACACGCTGGTGCCAAGCCCTGGTGGGACCGGTGGGACCCGCATCCGTCCACAGGGCCACCCCGGTCACATCCCCGCAGCCCCAGACCACGGTGCCACCAGCTTCCCCAGCCCTGACGCCAAGGGCAGATAATTATAGCTGCAGAGAAGCTAAAAATAGCCCTGCGAAGGAGGGCGGGTTATTTTTAGCCGCGCTCCCAGCTCTGTGCCACCAGCCAGCCCCAGCCCGTGCCGGAGCCCGCGGCTCCACGCTGGCAGGAGGGTCCGGCAGCCTTTCATGTGCTGCCAGGCTCCAGCGCCGGGCGGGTTTGCTTTGAAGCAGGTTTCCAGGAAGGTGGGGGCAGCTCCCGGCCTCCCCAGCACGTCCCTGTGTTTTCAGTGAATTTGGGGGAGTTTGAGCATCTGTGGAACGGTGGGTGCAGGGACCCCCCCCCCCCACCGCCGCGCCTCCATCGTCCCCACCCGGCCGTGGGGCACCGACATGGGACCTCCGGCTGCAGGAGGGGACGGGGCTGGCACCGTCCCTGCTGGAGAAGGTGCCGGTGGCTCCAGCAAGGCCACGTCTCCCCGAGCTGCTGTTGGCCAGAGGCTTGTGGGGAAACCGTGTCCCCTCTGCTCCCCTGCAGCTCCCCGGGCTCTGCCGGGCGCAGACGTGCCTTCGCCTCCCTCCGCCGCCCTGGACACCCTTAAGATCAGCGCCAGTCCCCCAAGACCCAGCCGTGCAGTCGGGCATCCCCTGTGCAGGGTGATGGGGCTCAGCCCAAGGACCACGGCTCGGACCTTCGGCGGCAGCGTCCGGCAGAGCCAGGCAGGTGGTTCGCAGCCAGGGCTGCCCGCTGCCTGTCCCGCTGCCTGTCCCGCTGCCTGTCCCGCTGCCTGTCCCGCTGCCTGTCCCGCTGCCTGTCCCGCTGCCTGTCCCGCTGCTCATCCCCCTGTTCATCCCGCTGCTCATCCCACTGTTCATCCCACACTGCTCATCCCACTGTTGCTCATCCTGCTGCTCATCCCACTGTTCATCCCGCTGCTCATCCCGCTGCCGCCCTTCCCAGCTCAGCGTTTCGGGTCAGACACTGAAAAATCCCAGCTATTCCAGGCACGCGGAGGAAGCGTGGCTCCAGACTGCCCGTACGCAGCAGCACACATTCCTGCCGGGCCGGGCGGGCAGGAGCTGCTCCAAGCCTCTCCCCAAAGCCGGCGGCCTGGAGGCCGCTGCCTTCCAGGAAAGCAGCCCCCGTGGTGCACGCTGCCGCCAGCCAGCTCCGGCACCGGACCCCGGTGCTGCTTTGGGTGGGAGCTGCCGGGAAGCCGAGCGGGGAGACGGGGCTGCTGCCAGGGCAGGCGGAGGTCCCTTCCTTTTCTCCGAAAAGGGAAGAAACGCTGCTCTCGGTTTCGCTTTGCTGTGGCTCCATGGGACAGGAGGGCCCTGGTGCTTCCCGGCAAGCAGACGATGCCGAACGGCCAGCTCTGGAGCCGCCGGGGCAGGGCAGGAGCTGCCAGCGATGGGGAGCATCAGGGTGGTGCGAGCAGCTCCCCCCCCCCCGCCGAGGGGCTGCGCCAGCCCGGCTGTTGCTGCAGGCTGCGATCCCCGGGGGGAGTTGGGGAGGGAGAGCGAGGGGATCCTGCACAGCCCCCGGGGGCGACGGCCCCATCCCACCCGCTCGGGACGCCCAAGCACCCTTAGGCAAGAGGGCAGGGGGAGGCGGCCGAAACGCCCCAAGGAAGGGGCCGAGAAGGTCTTCGCTGAACCCAGCTCCGGAGAACGTGGCAGGAAGGGTCAGTCGTTACCCAGCTCTATCGACTTCCCCTCCCGCAGCCCTGCTCTTCCCAGAAGGGCGAGCGGCCGGGGGGGAGCTGCCGTGCCCCCCGCACCGAGACCACGCGAGCACCCGCCGCGCCGGGGAAGCGTGTGTGTCATCCCCCCCCCAGCAGCAGACGCAGGACAGGCTGGGCAGGAGACCTGGCAAAATGAAAAGTGAGCCTTTTTATTGTGTTATCAATTCACTTCTTAACAACAATTCCACAAAATATTAAACACTGTGCAAGAAATTGGTCTATGGCACACCAGAAATAAAAATCAGAGATCCAAAAATGCAGACGTTATGAGGAGCCTACGTTACAGACACCGATTACTTCCTAAGTACAGTCTTTACAAACCTTGATTTGCGTTTGGCAACAAGATCAGAGTTTGGCAAAGAATAA